TACGAAGAAGTACCAAACACACTCCACAAATACAGAACCTACAAAACTATGACAGCCCATGTCAGTAGGTACCAAACCATTTCACAAAAACAGGACCCGCACAACCATGACAACCAAAATACCATTGGTTCCAAACACAATACAAGTACAAAATCTACAAAACCAAAATACAAGTGGGTACCAAACACACTATCTACAAATGAAGAACCCACGAAACCATAAAAACCAAAATAGTAATGGCCACCAAATACACTCCATAAGTACAGAACCCATAGCACTATCTAAACCCATACCAGTGGGTTCCCAAACACACTCTACCAGTACAGAATCCACAAAAATACAAAAACATCATTGTGGGTACCAAACACGCTTCACCAGTAAAGAATGACAAAACCATTAAACCCCAATACCCCTGAGTGCCAACACACTACAAATGCAGAACCCACAAAACCATGAAAAACCAAATATCAGTGGGTGCCACAACACATCACAACAGAGAACCCACGAAACTTTAAAAACCAAAACACTAGTGGGTACAAAGAACACTACACTCTACAAGTACAGAACTCACAAAACAATGAAAACCCAAACCCAGCAAGTACCCATTTACACTTAAGTAATAAACTCATACACTATCAGAACCCAAATGTTTCATGCACTGCTTTTAATTTTTTCCTTTGTCAGTTTTATAGTAGAGTTTAAAACACCAAAAGTGACTGATCAGACTAAGTTTCAATCATTTGACATTGATTCTAAAATGATGCATTATGTTGTTCACAGTTGTCACTATTTGTTTCTTAGTTTCATAATCTGGATTAAAATACAAGAAGTTTTTGTTCTTATTATTTGAAAATTAATAATTTATGTACTACTCCTTTCTCACTATTTGTTTCTTTTTTTCAGTCTCAGTGTACTTTTACTGATCATCTAAGATTGGTTTTAAAAATGTTTCATGTACTACTCATTTCTTAATTTGGTCTTTTGGTTTTTCAGTTTCGTATTACAGTTTAAAAATACGAGAATTGACTGACAAGACTGACTTCTAATCATTCCAGTTTCATTTTGAAATATTGTGTTGTTTTTTTAGGTCTCACTATTTGTATCTTTTTGTGTCACGGTATAGTTTAAAATACCAGAAGTGACTGATTAGACTCATCATTTAAAGTTGGTGTAAAAATGATTATTCATTTGCTACTAACTTCTGTTTCTTTATTTCTCCCTTTTATAGTATAGTTTATACCAGAAGTGACTGATCAGATGATTTATCATTTGAGGTTGGTTTTAGAATGTTTCATACACTAGTTCACACATTCTCACAATGTGTTTCTATTCTCAGTATCAAAATACCGGAAGTGACTGATCACACTGAGTTCCTAAGTATTTGCATTGATTGAAAAATAATGTGTTGTTGTTCTTTCTTCTCACTAATTTGTTTCTTTTCTCAATTTCATTTTATAGTTTATATCTGGAGTGTCTGATGAAACTCAGTTTTTATCAATCTGAGTTGGGGTTAATATAATGTTTCATGTACTACTCATTTGTTTTATGTACTACTCATTTCTTAGTATTGTTATTTAGAATTCTCAGTTTTTTAGCGTAACTTTATTTTAAAATACCAATAGTGACTAATCCGATTGACTTTGGTTTTAATATGTTTTATTTATTACTCACTTCCCACTATTTCTTTTTTCTGAGTTTCATAGTATAGTTTAACGTTTCTTCTTTTACTGACTTGACTATTGGTTTCATTTCTCAGTTTTATGTACTATACCAGGAGTGACTGATTAAACTTAGTTTTTATCATTTTAAGTTCTACTAATTTTTCAGAATTTGTTTATTTTTTACTCATTTTCATAGTATAGTCTAAAAACTATGAAGCTGAGAAAAGAAACAAATAGAGAAATGTCAGTGAAACATGAAAAGTCATTTTAAAAACCAACCTCAAATAACAACTCAGTCTGATCAGTTACTTCTGGTATTTTAAACAACACTATAGAACTGAACAAAGAAGAAACAAAGTGAGAACTAAGTACTACATAAAAGATCATTTTTAAATTAGACTTAAAAGATAAAATTCAGTCTGATTAGTCACTCTGGTATAAACTTTACTATATGTGTGACAACAGAAGTAAGAAATAGTGAGAAGTGAGCAGTACTTGAAGGAACATTTTTAAACAAACTTTAAGTGTTAATAATTCAGTCTGTCAGTCTTTTCAGGTATTTTAACTAAACTATAAAATTGAGAAAAAGAAGAAACAAATAGTGAGAAGCAGTACATGAAACATTGAAACCTAACCTGGATAATAACTCAGACTGATCAGTCACTTCTGGTGCTTTACATGAAACTGAAAGAAGAAACAAATAGTGAAAAAAAGAACATCACAATTGATTTCAGAATCAACCTTAAATAATAAAGATGCAGTCTAATCAGTACTTCTGGTATTTTAAACTATTATGACACTCAGAAAAGAAGAAACATACTGAGAATTGAGTAGTACATAAAAGCATTATTTAAAAACCTAATGAAAATGATAACAACTAAGTCTCATGTCACTTCTGGTATTTTAAACTATACTATAAAACTGAACAAAGCAGAAACAAATACTGACAAATAAATAGTCTTGTAAAACATTTTAAAACCAAACAGGAATCATAAAAAACTGAGTTTGATTAGTAATTCTGGTGACACTAGGAGAAAAAGATGTTAGTACATGAAACATCAATTTTTTTAAATCTTCAATAATTAGGACTCAGTCTTATCATGGAACTCCTGAATCTGATTAGTCACTCCTGTGTAAAGAATACTATTAGAGTAAGAAAAGAAGAAACAGATAGTGACAAGTAGTACATGAAACAATTTAAAAACAAACCTGAATCATAAAAACTGAGTCTGATCAGTACTCCTGGTGAAACTAAGAAAAAATAAAATACTGAGAAGTAATTAGTACATGAAACATTATTTTTAAACAAATTTTAAATAATTAGGACTCAGTCATATCAGTCCCTCCTGAATCTAAGTAGGGTGTAAACTATATTATGAAAGTCAGAAAAGAAACAACTATTGACAATTAATACAAGAAACAATATTTTAAAACCAAACTTATACTATGCAACAGTGAAAAGAAAGTAAAAACTGATAAAAATAGCATTACTTAACAATCAATCTTAAATGATATGTACTCAAACTCATCAATTTTAGCATTTTATTATGAAATTGAGAAAGGAAGAAACAAGATTTGAAAATGAGTATAGTACATAAAACATCAATTCAAAACAAAACTTTAATATAGAACTTTCATCAGTCACTCCTGGTATAAACTAGACGGAAACGAATACTGACTAGTCACTAAAACATAAAACGTCATCAAAAACCAACCTCAAAAGATAAGAACTCCGTCTGATCAGTCAATCAACAAAGAAAAACAATAAGAAGTGAGTACTTCATAAAACATTTTAAAACTAAACTGAGTTCATGAAACTGAAAATAAGTAGTAGTTAAATCATCATTTAGAAACGCATTTCAATTGGCAGTAAGTCATACTGATAAGAGACTTCTGGTATTATAATTTAATTTATACTTCGAAACTGAGCAATAAACAGTGAGAACTGAGAAAAACTCTCAGCAAGAAATAAAACATTTTCAAGAAATTAACGTCAAATGATATGTCACTTCTGGTATTGCAAAACATTATGAAACTGAGAAAAGAAGAAACGTTTCAATGAGTATTAAATTTTGAAACGAAACTTAAATAAAACTAAGCCTGATCAGTCACTTCAGGTATGAACTAGACTATGAAACTAAACTATGAAGTTAATAGTGAGAAGTGTGAAAAACATTATTTAGAATTAGCCTCATATGATTAAAACTTAAGTTTAAAGTCATTTCTAACAAGTAAATAAAAAGTAAAATTCTTCATACAGTGCTGTAGGTTTTTTATAACTCTAATTTGCAAGTATCATCTCGTTTCTTTAATTTAATCCTACTACTTTTTTATTTTTAATGTTTTTATTTACTTGTTTCCATTCTTTTTTCCTAAATTTATAAATTACGTATTGTTATGATTCTGTGGTTAGGTTAATTATATTTATGCTGATCACAAGCGCATAATATAAAATTACGTCAAACCACAAACCCACATGGTGTCTGCCGCTTGATTCTGTCTTCCATTTTGTTCTCTGTCCTTGCTTCTTTTTGAAGCTACCTTTGTGGTCCTTGACCCAAGGGCAAAGGAATGATGTAAAAGTCAACTTGAACAGTTCTCTGGTTTATAAGATTATCTTCCGGATAGAGGATGAAAAAAGAAAAGTCCAGAGAATCTTGCAAAAAATTTGAATTTGGGTCTATTCTCCAGAAAAGCTCCCGCTACATTACAGTCCACTTTAAAGGTACCAGAAAAATTGCTCAGTGAAGAAGAGCTAGTCTAAGCCATTTATATGGTTGTACAACGTAAGCTAAAAAATTTGTAAGTGTTCGAAAAATCATAAAAAGGTTTTGAAAAATCAACCTCAATTCTACAAATAGTAGTGATGGGCGATTCCGAGTCAGAAGTATTCGATCCTTCGATTCCAAATGGAATCTTACTCATATCAAAAGAGAAGTAGAAATCGTTTGAAACAATTCCGAATAAAACCACACCCAGCCACACCCTTTAAAATTAATAATAGTTAATTAATCAGTAGTTAATACCTCAATTATTTGTCATTATTGCATTTTTATTGCTGTCACATGGCTTTGCGCATGTGCAGATGTACTACTCTGAATCGGTATTCAATTCCATCGATTCCAGTCTCAAAAGTATTCAGAATCAGAATCAAATGCAAATTTCTGAAATCGCCCATCACTAACATATAGGCTACCACCTATATAATAAAAGCTTCGCTAGGAAACTAAGAAAAAAAGAAACATCCTGACAAGTCAGTAAAACATCAAAAACCACAAGATAAATCAATCTAAAATTATAAGAACTCTTTCTGATCAGTCAATTTTGGTACTTTAAACTATACTATGAAACTGAAAAAGAAACAAATGCAGAGAAATGAGTATTAATTTTTTAAAGGAAATTTAAATATAAAACTAAGTCTGATTAGTTACTATGAAACTTAACAAAAAAAAAGGAATAGTGAGAAGTGAGAAAAACAGATTCTTAAAACCAACCTCTAACGATAAGAACACAATGCTATAAAAAAATTTTAGACTTAAGTAATACATGAAACATTTTTACCAAACTCAGTGATGAAACTTAGTCTGATCTGTTTCTCCTAGTAGAACTTTTACTATGAATTAGACAAATAAAGAAACATTTACTTAGAAATGAGTAGTACATATAACATCATTTTAAAACCGAACTCAAAGGATAAAAACTGAGTTAGATCAGTCAATTGTGATATAAAGTATATTACAAAACAAAAAAGAAGACATATTTAGAACTAAAAAACATTACACATAGTTTTAGAATTAACCTTATGATGAGAACTGAATTCGATCAGTCACTTCTGGTATTTTAAACTATACTGTGAAAATTAACAAAGAAACAAATAGTAAGGAGTACCTACATAAAACGTCATTTTAAACCAAACTCAAATGATAAAACTTAGTCATATCCATCACTCTTGCTAAAAAACCTTTATATGAAAGTGAGAAAAGATTATTCTAAATGAGTGATACATTACACAAATCATTTTAAAACCTACTTCAAATGTTAATCTCAGTTTCATCATTTACTTATGGTGTGATAAACAATACTATGAAACAGAGAAAACAAAAAACAAAAGACTAAGAAGTGACTAAAACATTAAAGATTATATCAAAAATGAACCAAAAATGATAAACTCAATTTTGTCAGTCACTTCAGGTATTATAAGGAGTAGTACATGAAACATCACTTTAAATACAAAGTGAAATGATTCGATCTCAGTCTCATTGATACTATCTCAGTCTGATTAGTCACTCCTTGTATAAACTATACTATAAAACTTATTTTTAA